TGTTTACTTACTCTTGTGCCTCTACTTCCCACGTCTAAATATTACTCTCAAATATTACTTTACCCAAATAGTAGATCTCTTGGTGAACGGAAGCGATTTTTTGAAGTAATCATTTCTTAAAATAACACTTATATTCTTATAGCATTGTATTGTACAAACAAATTTGATGAGTTCACAACCATAATTTAATACTCTCGCTAATAGTAGCAGTACTGGAAAATAAGTTTAAATTAGGGATACAAAAGTATTTAAAGAAAAACAATACCTTTACGACTATTGTTAATTTTGTGCTGATGACCACCAAAACAATATGGAAATGAATGAGGGAAAACTGGATCCTACCACGTGATTTTCTGGCCAATAAAAATGCACCGACAACAATGGAAAACTGCGACACCATCATTAGAATTTTATATATAGTAAAATATCTTAAAATCGTAACAAATATACGCCGTTTTGTTCGCATATGAAGAAATTGATGAAAGAATAATAAATATTGTTTCTTGCAGACGATTTTGATTTGTTTAGAGAACATGTCAGCATAAAACGCGCCATTTCTAGTGGTTCGATGAAATCCAATGCTCCTGTAACGTTACTTAGTTTTTTTTCCAAGAACGAATGTTATTGAAACAAGACGAAAAATTTAGAATTCTAGTAGTAAGACTACGAAACTATAACCTATTTTTTAAACAATTTAATGATATATATAGTAAAAGATAGCACAAGTTAAATCAGTGACTGACGTGTTTGACTTCTTTAAATGCTTCATATATTGATTTGAAAGCATATTTGTATAGTTTGATAACGAAATAAAACGGAACTATATGCAGTCGCGGATGAATACTTAAATCCTATACCGCTATGGTGTTTTCTTAACTTGCAACGGAGTATGGTATCACTTGACGCATGACGTCCATGGGAATTATCATTAACTTATCGACGGCTGCCGAATTCCCACCCAACGTACCAGTGGTGTAAGCAGAATTTTTTCAAGGGGGGTGTTCATAATTCTCTGAAACTACTAAAAGAAATTCGAGTCTGTAATAAAGCACTATTATTTCCCTAATTTAGACAGCTAGACAATTTTGACTTTTTATTTAGACAATATTGTTTAGTTAAATTTTGATTTGATTTTTTAAGTTTAAGAACATAATGTAATATCTTCTAAAAAAAGCCCAATGTCATATGGGTGGGAAGTAACACTTTGAAGGCCACTTTCACATTCATCAGATTTTGTTATGCTAGAAACGTTTTCTTCAACGGAAGTATAACATTTCTGTACAACAGAAAAACTTACATTG